CATGGCAGGATTGTTCCCAGGTGTCACAGAACTCCTCAGATGGCCAACTTTGGCTCAAAAACTCCTTGATGGTCTTGCTGAAACCTCCTTTGACTGTGGGTCATCTAGGACACTTACAAAGTCTTTCCTTCCCTTCCATTTGGGGCCAGCTTGCATACTGTCTGATGACTGTCTTAGTCTCCACAGGTTCCTCCCATTTTCTCTTACATATATGTTTCCCCTAATACAATCTATGCACGTTTAATTCCTTCTTGGCATTTGTATCTGGGAGGATCTGGACTCACATGTGTGAAGATTCTCTGTAGAGGGCACCAAATGCAGTGATGTAAGCAATGTATTTAGCAGAGTGATTGACACAAGTAAGTGCTGGAAAAGCAGCAGGGCTCTTGTCACCTTCTCCAGCATTGCTAACATTGCCACCATTCCCAGCATTGCCACCATCTCCACCATCACTGTTATCACCATCTTTGTCACCATCACCCCCATCGCCACCATCACCTCCATCACCATTTGGCCAACTTTCCTTCTTTGATGGTACCAGGCAGAGAGACTGCCAGTGACTCATTGTAGGTCACAAAGCAATTCTGTATTAGAATGAGAGCAACTATGATTTGAGAAATGAAATGGAATTAACACGCTTTTTAACTATTTATCCAACTTACGGGTAAAGCACAATCCAAATCGTTTTCCCGCCACCAAAATGTGTAGTCGTATTTGTTAAAGCAACTAACTCTATTTTTGGACAAATGCACAAGTGCTTTTGTAACATTCTGAAGTCCCACCAGTTCTCCTGACATCAACAAAAACACTTTCAATCAGTAAACCAAGACAGTTCATTTGCTGTTCCTGAGAACCTTGTGTTTGTGGGGGGAAGTGGCTGTTATTCACATTTCACAGATAAGCAAACAGAGAAACAAACTGACAGTTTCAAGGTCACTCAGGATTTAGGGCTGAAACTGGTTCTGCTCTGGTGCTTTGGAAGCTGAGAAATTGGTAGATTCTGTTCAAACTACTCCCAGGTACAATCTCTTAGCAAACTGACACCAGGAACTGGCCTTAAAAGAACTTTCTCAAGCTCAATTCTGTCCAGCCTTGGGGATGTTAGGAGTTCTGGAACCATCCATAATAGTGATCAGTGAAGGAGACCAGCTCCAACTGACCTCCGTGCTCTGGCTGTTGTTTGTCCCCTGCTGAGGCTTTATCCTTATGTTAGTCCCCTTGAGTAGGCTGTGGACCCCCAAAGCTGGAAGAGACAGTGACTTATCTGCACTACGGCAGATTCTTGTGCCCTGTCAGGGCTAAACAATGCTGTTATAGGGTACTGTAAGAGCACCTGATTCTCATGGGGCTTTTGTATGTAGTCTGAAGGAATTTTCAACAACAATGACAGCCACAAAAAAGAAACATTTGCTCTGTGCCAGGCTCTGTGCCGAGAAATGAATCCCATGATTAAAAGGTGCTCAGACTTCAAGAAGTTTATAGGCTAGTGGAGAAGACTTAGAATCCAGAAAGTTCAGTCATGCCATGATTACTTCCCTTCCATCCACTAGCTTACCAGGATCCTGGCCATGCTAAGCCTATCTGGAGAAGTCCAGGATGACTTTGCGGAGAAGGGAGCGTTGGCTGATGGAAGAGGACGGGTGTTTGCCAGGCAGAAAGGGGTAGGGGTGGGAGGGACTAGTGGCCAAGAGAACCAAGCTGTGGTAGTATGAACAGAGCTCTGCTGTGCTTGCATGTTGCTGGAATGTCCAGTTATTTTCCATTCCATGCTGCTCATCCACATTCTACATGTAGTTTGGATCCTTCACTCACTCATTCAGCCATCAGTGATGAGCAACTCACTGTGTGCTGGGAGTGTGCAGGACACTAGGAATTCAGAGATGAGGGGATGGGCACAGTGCTGCCCTCAAAGAGCTATAAGCTTCAGAAGTGAACCGGACACGTGCAAAGACTCCATCAACATAATGCAGTGGATACTGGGCCAGGAATCCCTAGTCTGGTGGAGCATGCATTAATTTCCTGTGGTTGCTGTAACAGGTTACCACAAACTTAGTGACTTAAAACAACACTCATTTACTACATTACAGTTCTGGAGATGAGAAGTTTAAAATCAGTCTCACTTGACCAAAATTCAAGTTTAATTAGGTCTAGCTCCTCCTAAAGATTCGAGGGGAGAAGCTTTTCTCTACCTTTGCGGTTTCAGGAGGGACCATATCCCTTGGCTCATAACTGCTTTACTCCACTTACCACGTCCATCCTCACATCTCCTTCTTTCTCTGACCCTTCTACCTCCTTCTTATAAGAACCTTATGATTACATTGGGCTCACCCAGATAATCTGTGATCCTCTTTCCATCTCAAGATCTGTAACTTAATCACACCTGCAAAGTGCCTTTTGCTATGTAAGGTCACATATTCACAGGTCCCAGGGATTAGGATGTGGATGTCTCTGAAGGCCATTATCATGCCTCTCATGGAGAGTACAGGGGAGAAGGGGAAGAGATGCTACCAGAAGTGGTATTTAACCTGAGACACTGGATCCGAAGTTGGGTGAAAATGGAAGCAGAGAGGTCATGTGGGAGGCTGCTGTGTTGGTCCAGGCAAGATATGACAATGACCATAGGGATGATGAGAAGGGCAAGGATTTGAGGGACACTCAAGAGGCAGAAAGGAAAAGGGGCAATGTTGAAAGAAAGCCCCTCTAGACAAGGCTCACCTTCTCAGTCTCATCAAGGGCAAAGAGGGACTTGAATGTAGCATCTTTAGGGATGTTTAACAAGAATGTAATGTTTGGGTCACTGATTCTAAATGATAGATTGTGCGATGAGAGATTTCAGAAAATTTTGTGTTCATGTAAGTCTGAGGGAAATTTAACATTAAATGATTCTATTTTATTTATTTTAAAATGCATGTACAGGTAGAGAGAGAAAAAGAGAGAAAGACACCTTCTGCACAAGGCTCAGTCATGCTGTGATTCTCTTCCTCCAGTCCTCTAGCCCGCTGGAATCCTAGGCACACACACATGCTGGGTGTGTTTTCAGGCTAATTGGACTGGCGACTTAAGCTGTGGTTGGCATGTGGCTTTGAGCTTTGCAATCTGACTGCACCATAGAAGCTAGTCCTGAAAGATTTTATTGGACAGAATAATAAAATAACAAAAGGTTGGTATTCACCTTGGTTTTCAAAGAACTGAATTGAAAGGTCTGGCAGAGGTAGATGTTGGCAAACTTCTAAGTGACCACCCCTGTAGCCTGGTGTTGACAGGATCATTTGTGTTTTGAACAAGGAATTACATTCCTG